TAAAATGGTTTCACAAGGTTCACGGAAAGAAATCAAAGTGGAGAAAATACCAGGCACACCTTGTTACAATGTGTTTCTACCCTGCCATGTCCGACTTAACTTCACTTGGACAGATATAGGAAATTCAAAAAATCCAGTTTCACATATCCTTCACAATTTCGATATGGATATTTGTCAAGTAGCCTTTACTGGTAAATCTTTATGTCTTTTAATCACTTCTTCATTACGTATATGACCTTTTTTTTAGGAGATAAAATCGTTTCAACATTTCCATTTTTGCAAGCTCTTGCGACAAAATCGTTTATTGTTTATAGTCTACATGCACGAAGTCCAAAGCATTTATGCACACGTATAGCAAAATATTGTAACAGAGGATTCAATCTTCTAGAACTCCTTGATTTCGATGGCGATTTTGATTCATTGATGATACAAGAAGAAGTTTCATTGTATCGAGTTGAACATCAACAGTATATTGATGATGACGGTGAGATTCAATTTGCTACAAAAGAATTTCACCGATCATTTCTAAATAATGTTGATACTTTTCGGCTTCAAGAGAAATTCATGTGTATGGTTTGTCCCCAATTATTACAATATGCTTAAATAATACATCTCCAACATATATCAAATGAATGATATTGATCAAAACTTATATCATGTCGAATTTTTTATTATTGTCGATATTTTCAAAAATATATTGTCATTTGTAAAGAGCGAAATAGATGAGATGAAAATCAATTATCTGTCAACAAGTATTTTTTCATAGTCATGCTCTCAATTGTGTTTTCGTTGTTTGATGGATCATTATCCATATGATGGTCAGCCAGATTCGATTTGAAAAAAACTTGTGTTGGTTTTCTTATACTAAATATATATATAACTATTGATAATTATATTAGCTTTTATATATTCGAATAAAATGTTTTGGAAATTGTAATCTATCTTTAGAATTTAGACCATAATATATATTTATTGTAGATTTTACTAACATAAACATTTACATCTACCTTCAAGTTTATTCATTCGAAATGTCTCAATCGTCAAGTAAATATCATGTTGAATCAATTTTTCAAATTCATATTCTATCATATTCCTTTACATAATAGATTCAACAATGAATACAAACATTTTCTCAGACTTATCGGTAATTATAGCTGATAATAAAGTAAGCACTAACAACATCATAATAACCTAATATTTATATGAATTTGACAATAGGCCACTTCAACTAGAACAGAACGAGGAGAAAAAAGACCCGCTCCTTTAGTTCCTGAATGTCAAGTTAAAAAGAGTATGGCTGATCATCATTCATGCGAAGAACGAGCATCAAATACTACTTCCAACTATATTGACCAACCAAAATTCGTCAGTGCGGCTGAGATAGCTGCTGCAGCTCGTGCGAATGTTCATATGGCGCCTGAAATTTCTGATGAAGAATTGCTTGAAATGGCTCTTAAATTCGAAAAAGAAAATCCCCAATAATCCTCCTCAACAATTTGATAAAATACAAGCTGATCTTCAGACGAATAGTCTTTTTTTGTAGTGTGATTGCGGTGCTGTAGTGTTTAACTTTTCAGATTATCTTAGTTGTTTTGTGTTCAACTTATACACATGTTTATTACTAGTATTTATCAATAAGCTTCATTATTAATAAAAATCATTTCAGATTAGTAATACTGGTTAGTAGTGACTGATGGGCTGATCGTAATGCATAAAGAGTGGTCGATAAACATTTTGGAGTGAAGGTATGGGTTTAGGTGTGTGTGAGGATGGGGTATACGCGTTCGTTTCATCTATATCTACACCGACACCCTCTCTGTGTATGACCACTAAGATCATTTCCTACCCTTAAAAAGTAAATAACTCGACTGATCGTTCCGTCAACATTTCTCTGTCGTTCAAATTTTGGTTGCGGACTGAGAAATATTGGTTTTTCATCATCATAAATAATTCACGCTTTTATAATCATGGCCGTCAATCAATTTGTAAAATAACAGACACATCTATTTTTAAGAAGATAACTATTGTAATCATTTTAGTTTTCACATTGATTATTCTGTTCCAGCATTGGTTTTAATGTGTCACTTTTTCATTAATTCTTGATAACGTATTCATAAAAAATAAGAAAGTAAAGGAAGCCGAAAACAGAGTTTTCTGTGTGAATTATCATTTGGCCTTACTTTATACATGTAAAGAAAACAAAGCTCTAACCAACCAGCAGTCATCTCTTCCTTTTGTATCAAAATCTCTCTTTTATTTTTCA